AAAAAAAAAAAAAGTACACAGAAATAGTAAAATGTAAGTAGATATTTGAATTATTTATTAATAAACTAGTGTTTTCTGAGTCAGTGTCAAAGATGAAGTTGACGATCCTGACTCGCCATCTCCTCACTTGACGCGCCTTCATAAATCTTTTACGGATTACATTAAAGTTTTTGTTTTTGATTTGAATTATTTCGTTTTAAAATAATTTAAAGCATTCTATAGATATATTTATCATGTCTATGAGGCAAGTATTCACTGAGTTTCGGTTCATCATTGTGGAGCGCTCCTGCTCAAGACCGAGATGGCAGAAAACGCATCCCGTATGTTTTCTTTATTTTATAAAAGCACAACGTTTTGTTGATATTGTGAGTGCACACAAATAAAAGTAGACCCTTTGCAGTTTCCACTCTTATTAAGAAAAAAATAAGTGATCGCGCCGATGCCTCCATGTGCTGCAAAGCACGCTTTAGCTTCTACTCTTGGCACAAACAATCAGATATGCGCCTAATATCGCACATTTATCTAGGTTTCATTTTAGGCAAGTCGTGATGATTTGAGAAGGCTAAATTAATCAAACATATGCTCAACTCACTGGCTGCCTCTGGCCACTTGGTCGTTACTTTAAAAAAAACAAAAACTTGAATTTAACAAACAGAAAATGTTCCAAACAATGTTCTAAATTAACTTAATACAGAAAATATAACCACTTTGCCATAAAAAACTGAACTAATGGCTGCAGCAGCAGCTGTGTAATGGGAAAGAAAGAGAGAGAAAAAAGACACTGGCTCCAATCGGACTCGGGCTGCTGTCGGACAAGGGTCGAGCCCGTGCAAGGCTCTGTTCGTTCCCTCGTTTCAATTAAAAGTTCCCCCTCGGCTCAGCGGGCCCCCAATCTGCCGGGGCCCATATGCACCTGCATACCCAGACGCTACTCCCCTGGTTGCAATGAATTCATTTTGACAACTAACAAAATGTTAAACATTGACCGTTTACTTTTTCAGAGTTCATTGATTATATAAAATTCAGTGAAGGTTGACTAAACTTTGAACTATGTAGATATCTTCATGTCTCATCCATGAGTAGGCCTATGCAATGATGGAAAACAAGATTTTGGGGGTGTTGAGACCCAGAACCAAGCTGACTGAGCAATAAAGCTATAGTGAGCCCTTTTATTAAAATACCTGGAGGTAATACAAAAATAATACAAAAATTGTCATATTCACTCAGTATTGATCTAATTCACAACTATAATTACAATTTAATTAGATCAATACTGAGCAAATTAATAACAATAACAAATTAATTTTATTCAGATTTGATTTAGTGAGAGAAACTAAGATCATAAACAAGGAAACAAACTAGCCACCTTTCGCTGAAAATTGCTGTTTGAATTCAAAATAGGCCATCTGTGTGTAGATCCAATGAGTTGAAAATGTCTCAGGTTACTTATGTAACCATGGTCCCTGAGAAGGGAACGAGACACTGCGTCCTCTAGAGGTCGCTATGGGGAACGCCTTTGGCGTGACCGGTGTCTGAAGCATAAATCTAAACACGACAATAACATTGGCCGGTGACAACCTATGACGCCACTCTGGCGCAACCACAGTATAAAAGGGTGCCGGAAGAACACGTCATCCGCTTCTTCGTCGGAAGCTCGCGTCCGAAGCATGGTAAGGCTTCTAGAGGACGCAGTGTCTCGTTCCCTTCTCAGGGAACCATGGTTACATACGTAACCTGAGACGTTCCCTTCCAAGGGAACTTCGAACTGCGTCCTCTAGAGGTCGCTATGGGGAACAGTATACCCACACTGCCATTCTGACGTGAGTGCATGCCAAGCACCAAGGCGAGCACTAAGTACCAACTCTACCAAAGCTATGGGAGTTGCCCCACAGACGCCTTGACGGCTGTCAGTGACATTATCCCCTTCAGCCAAAGGCCTGAGCTGCATATCCCAAAAAACTTACCTGTTAAGGGCTGGGCTGGAAAGCCTGAACCCAGGGCAGAGCTCGAAGACTTGGAATCAGAAACAAAGAGATTCCTTCAAGGGGATACGGCCAAGCATCTAGGACAATAACTAGACCCTGGCCTGTCACCC